GGGTCCACCCCTTTCCGGTCCAGCATCCGATATCTTCCCCCGCTTGTAAAACGAAGCAGGTGCTAACATCTTTAAGTTTTATTACACCCTTTTAAAGCTGTGCATGTACTTTTACTCAAGCAAATAGCTTTGGGTTGAACCAAACCTTCCTTCTGTTTTTCTGCCTTTTCCCCCCTTTGATTTAATCCAGTGATATGTTCCTCTCACTTTTAGTAATGATGTTTGACCTTATTTCCCGTTGCTCTCTTGCTTTTTTCTGGCAGTTATTAGTTTTCACCAAAGTAAAAATACTGTGGATTTCATGCACGTTATGTAGTTTTTAAAAGACTAGATTTTATGTAGTTCAGTTTGAAATTAAAATTAAGAAAGCATGACTTTGTGATAGGAACTTTAATTGTGCTTATGTGACAGATTGAGTTGTTTCACATGCAACACCAGCTTTTGACTGTATTTATTTTATGGGTTGAATCATTTTTGAATTGTGTTCATAATAATCTTGCAGTAGTGAAATGAGTTTGTTAGTTTAGAAACTGAATCTTATGTTTACTTCGGTTTAAATAAAATGTATAGACTAGGTATGTTCCTGGGTTTTGTTGAAGGTGGTGGGGATTTGGCGAGGGGAGAGTATGGCTTATGAAGATAACAGTAGAGGTCAGTAAATTTAAAATATTAAGTTCTCCAGCTCTATGTGTCCATTAAATTCTTTCTTTAAAACAAATAAACGTAAAACAAAAAAATGTTGGGGTTTGGGCAGTTGTTTCTTAATTGGCTTATAGAGAAGATTCACACTCATCTTTGAGTAAGAAAATTATATAACCCAAGAACTTTAGCAAGTATCAACAGGTGAAATAATATGTGACAAGACTTGTAATGTGGGTTTTTTCACCATAAGGTCACGATACAAACTCAAACGCAGTTAAGAATTTTTTCTAGCCAGCAGTGTAAACAGTTGCAACAGCATGTCCTCCCTTGCAAATAAAGTCATGCTCAGGTACACGTAAAAAGTCCCTCCTGGCCCCCAAAGCCAAGGAATTGTACAGCAGAGCCTGGAGAATGGATAAAAGCATTTGAAAAGTGTTGTTGGCTCAGTTTTCTCACCCATGGGGTTTAACTTGCACTATAAAGCTTAAGTTACAGATTAAGAACTATTGGGGGTCTTCTGACATGAAAATGAATAACACATGGTTTATTTTTTCTGAAGTCCGCGTGCTCTGAACTCCCTGGCTGTAAGGACTGATGCACTCGCAGGGCAGGAATTTGTAACTCTGTTCTTCTTAATGAGAACTAACTCAATAATTCAAATTTTGAATTACTTTTTTCCCCTCTTTAAGCATATTCTGGGGTGTTTGGGTTTTTTCCCCTCTGTTCTCTTTCCTTGTCCACCAAATCAATACAAATTCTAGAATTTAATTAAGATATCACAGTGACTATTTTTTTCCGAACTCTGATTAATTTAGAGTAGTGACTAGATCTGAAATGGTTAATTGTAGGAGATGCACAATCCCATCTTCATTAGCACCTTAGAAATTCAGTGTTCTTCCGCAAGTCTGTGTCCAAAGGTTTACCATTCATCCAGAGGTCAGCTACTGCTATGTGTTGGAGGGCAAAAAGTCTGAAATATATGACTTCTGCAAAGTCTTGGTTCTTTATAGCATCAGCAGATGCACTTTCTTAGAGACACAGCCTTAGAGAAGGTTGAGGTTGCGTTCACTTAGAGCTACAATGACAATGGTCCAGTTAATGTTTGCGAATCGAGATGGATGTATGTATATGTCTACCAGAGGCTATGCTTATTTCTGTAATCTGCCTTACAGCACCTTTTGCAAAAAAGAGAAAATTTTAGTTACTTAGGCTATATATAGCACTCCATCCTAAGTGACCAACTTATAATGTTGGCACTTTTCATACTTGCCTGCCTTCCCTCCTCCCCTTCCCTGGGAGAAATGGGATGACCGACAAGGAATCATCCCATTTGTTGTATTCCCCTTTAAACAGAATAGTTGCCTTTAATCTTAGAAATTCATACTATTCTTGACAAACAATGATTCAGGTTTTTGTAGGTGTATATATATATATTCTTTTTATTAAACTTTTAGCTAGAGGTTCCTATTTACTATTACCTTGTAGTTTCTGAACTGCTTGCTGACTTATTAAATCCTCCAGCTATTACAAGAGAGCGAATTGAACTGCATTATACATACTAGGTTTTTAACAAATGAATGTTTTGGGTTAGACACACCAGAACTTTGTAACGTGTTTAATGTGGAATCCACCAACAAGGAAGTGTCTGTATGAAATAAGTAAATGATGGTAGATAATTAACCAGTAGGTTTTATTACTCCTAGAATCTTGAACAAGCTCCAGGTCATTAAAGCCTTGCCTTTTTGATTGATGATCTGCAGCGCATCATTTTGTGTTAAGAATTGAGTTTTGAAAATGCTTGCACTTTCAGGAAGTTGATTTTTTTTTTTTCTTCTTCCTCTTCTTTAGACTTAAAACAGGCATGCTTATGGTTTTGAATATACATAGACTTAATTTATATTAAGAGCTATAAGGGATGCTTTAGTGATGGGGCAGTACCCATGGGACGGTGGGAAAAGATTCCCTGTTGCAGACAGTCACTGAGAGGGGTGATGTGTAATTTGGGATTAAAGACAGCAGAAACAGGCCTGTATTACAAGGTGATGGTTCTCACACATCACATTTTATAAAAACCTTCTTCTGGCTTATAGAAAGCAAGCACTTTGGATGGGTAATTGCTATATCTGTTTGTACTTCTAAACAAAGTAAAAACTAGGAGAGAATTTATGGAAATTTGGTTTTAACTCTTAAAATCTAGTGGTGCTTTTCAAATACATGGTTTTGCAAGAGTGTATTTGTCTGACTGTTAATGTACCCTGAAGCATTGCTCATGTTGTTGTTGTTTTTATGCTTTGCATATTTGGACCATCTTCTTCGCCCATATTTCTGATGAATCTACCTGGGTGCAGTTCACGCGATTCCTCTGTGATTCTCCGCTGGAGGTACGTATTGGTTCTAGATGCAGGTTTTGCAATGAACGTGTTCTTTCTTCTTCACTCTCTGTAGACAGCAAACTGTTATGGTATCGATGGGTGTCACAATATTTGGATCATCCCTGACTGGTAAGGAAGATAGTCTGAGGACTCCTTTGGTGGATAATAAGGTGCCACTGAATTTCATATTGCTGCATTAAGAAGCAGTAGCAGAAAGTGCTGTGTCTTTTCTGTTCTTGATTTATTTCTATGAAGGAAAAGTGTATTGCTAAGTGACTTACTGAACTGGTGTTTAACTAGAATCTGAGCTCCAAATCTGGGAGAGATGCTGTTGCTTCATTGCAAGTAAGCAAACTGCTGCGGATTTCTTGCGCTTTCTTGTTAGTCTTAAAGAGTTAAGCACCGCCTGACCGTAATGAAATTGTCAGGTTATAGTAATTATGCTCGTAATTTGATATGTCGCAGTTTGAATGAATCCATGTGTGGAGAGTTTGTTGCTTTTCTCTGCTGAGACCACTGGCCTTTGCATTCCTGAAAGCTGAAGAGTAATAGAGCTCATTAGACTTTATAGGAAAATAGCTTTTATCACCTCATCAACTCAGGCAGCAGACTGCCATTATATTCTTAATTCTGTATGGCTACGTAGATGCTGATGCACCCTGCCCTGCCAGGTTTATACCAGTATTGTTTCTTACAGGCACTTTTTATTGACATTTCGAAGCTTGAATTAAATTTTGTGTGGCACCACTACAGATGTCTTCAATTAGATGAAGTTAAATAAAAGGGGTTGTATATCAGAGGCCAAGGGATTCTTGAAATTCTTTATTCTGAAACGGTTGCCACAAGCAAATCCAGTAGTATGTAGTCTGTTTGTTCTTTTGAACAAAAATAATGTAAAATTAAATTTAAACCTACATGATTTCAATTTGTAATTTTTGGAATTTTTAATATCATTAGCTGCAGATAGCATGAACACCCCAACTCTTTCTGTCTTTTTGTTTCCTTGTTTTATTATTCTGTTTGCTTTCAGTTTTGGCTATAGGCTCTGGCACAAATACTTTAAAAAAATGATACAGTAAGTAGTAGCAGAAAACGAGGCAATTTTCTAGCAGCAGACAGGACAGTGTAGAGAGAGCTTTGTGGTTTCTTTATTCGTCCTTTTGTCTTCAAAGCTGTATTTAAACGCATTAAAATTGCCATTTTACCACTGCATACGTGCAACTGCTGCCTTGTTTGGAGGGGTACGGTTGTAACGGTTCAGGACGGGAGAACCGCATGGAGGAGTCTTAACCAAAAACCAGTGCGGGATGGTACCCTGCTGCTGCCAGGGTAAGGGTGTCTATGGAGGAAAGGCCCAGGGAAAACCTGATGTGCTCAGAGTGGATTCCTAGGTTACGGTGCTCGGCGAGTTGGGGTGTTCTGGGCCAGCGGTTCTGTCGGCATCACTAATAGTGATCTCTATCTTTCCCGAGTTGTTCCATGGCATCTTGATACAACGGTTGGAGCGAGCCTCAGCACTGAGATGTGTCGTGGTATTATGCAGTCAGATGATGATTTTACGTTTTGTTTTCAGATCCTTCCCTAACTGCTCGTTAATTTTCCATTTTAACTGATGCTATGCATTAAATCAACAATTTCATAAAACAGCTCTTCACAGAGTGAATTCACAGAGTGAATTGCTAATTTATACCCCTTTTTTTAGATATGTATATAACAATATTTCTTTTCCCCATGCATTTTTGAACATTTGGTATTTCCTGTGCCTGTTTAATCCCTTGGCATTACGGGATCTTTCTGTGGTTGTTTACACTCAGCTCTTCCTGACTACTTTTAAATTATCAGCTCAGTTTGCTGCAACATTGTTTAGTCTTCAGTGATTCACATACTGGTATGGAGAACAGATTAGATCCAGCACGATGGAGAATGAGCTGCTTTCCATTATGTAAACCGTCATTTGTTCTCACTTTGTTTGCCTTTATCTGTATGGAGATGCTTTTGAATCCTCAAGAACTGAAAGGCATTTGTGAATATAGCCCTTTTGCTTTTTGAAAAGCACATAAGCTTCTGCTCTATTTTGTTTATTGGTATGTTTTAATATTTAGGAGATGTAACCATATCATTTGCTGCTACAGGTCTGTCGTTACTGCTATCACCTTCTGTAGAATGTCGTATTTTAGTCACATTCGATGCACTGCTGAGGACTAAATCAAACTCATTTCACTTAGAGAGCTTGGCAGATTGCTTTTTTTTCTTACAGGGGCGTAGACACTGTGATGTCTATATGGTCATACTCAAAGCCTCTTGGTGGAAGTTCCCTGTACCTTCACAGCTTCACTGATCACTTTAGCATTTTAAGCTTACTGTTGCTCTCCTGATTAAATAGTTGACAGTGTAGCTCAAATACTGTCCTTTTCCAGTAAGGTACAGAAGTTAGCTCTGCAGAGTGTGTCTTACGTTGTGGTGCAGTGAGTTGGTTTACTTTGTTTTGTTACAGAATCAGAGTTGTTCAGGTTGGAAGGGACCTCTTGAGATTACCAAGTCCAACCCTACTGCTCAAGCAGGGTCGGCTAGAGCAGGTTGTCCGGGACCATGGGTTTTGACTATCAGCAAGGATGGAGACTCCACAGGTTCTCTGGCCAGCCTGTGCCACTGTTTGACCACCTTCTCAGTTAAAACCTGTTTCCTTCTGTTCAGATTTCTTGTGTTTTAATTTGCATGCATTGCTGCTTTTCCTCCTGGTGGTACCTGCTGAGGAGAATCTGACTCCCTTATCTTCATTCTGTCCCATGAGATCTTTCTGCATACTGGTCAAACTTCCCCCATCTGCTGGCAGTGCTCTGTCTGGGCATATTGTTTGCACCACCCCTTTGGTGCATTATTGGCCTTTTTTACTAAAAGCATGCAGTGCTGCTTCTCTGCTGACACAGCCCATATTTGTAGGCTGCTTTCACAGCATCCCCACTAGTCCCTAATGAAAGGAGGGTGTAGTAGTGAAAAGGAATATGTTGCTAACCAAGAGACTGAAATCTGCCATAATGTAGGTTGTGTGTGCCTTTGGTAAAGGAACTGCTGGAATTAATCACTTTGTTTCTTCAGCAAATAATTTCCACTGGAGTGTAGAAGTCAAGGCTTCCCTGGCTTTTTTTTTTTTTCCCCCTCTTTGTGTAAGGGATAGCATGGATTTCGTAGCATCCTCCTCCCTGTAGTCACGGCAGAGGGTAAAATGAAAAGGTTCAAGATACAAAATGCCATTAAATCTTCCAAAGAAAAATAGTCATGTAGTTAGTGTGGTCAGGACCCATTTTTGGTGGGTGAATATGCAGTGCCTCTGCAGTTGCACACTGGTCTGGTGGGGGGATAACAAGTGCAATTTCAATAATAATAATGATAAAAAAAAAAAGTAGTAGAAGATCCCCTAAAAGTAAATAGAAAGACCAATGTGCTTTGGAGAAAATTGAGTGCTGTTGCTGAAGTTCAGTTACAGGCAGTTATTACACTGAGGTGTACTGATCGGGGCAACATGTAATACCAGTTGCTATTAAATATTTAAATTTTAATAATGTGTTGAAAAATATGAACAGTCAAAGCATTCATGAAATCACTAGCTGGCAGAATATGAAGACAGGTAGAATTAACCTGTGATGGAATATATTGTATTTTCTCTGCATTATAGTCTAAACATTGGGGAGAAAATAATTTCTTTTTACTTTTATCCTGGGTTTCATTTTTTTTTAATTGTTTCAATATAATCAGCTTATAATAATGCATATTATTGCATTTTGAATATAAATTGTTAATTCTAAATAAGCTGGTCCCTCTGGGCTGATTCCAGGGCTGATGTGTGTTTCTTTGGGTAGATAAGGGACCCATTTTTGGTGGGTGAATATGCAGTGCCTCTGCAGTTGCACACTGGTCTGGTGGGGGGATAACAAGTGCAATTTCAATAATAATAATGATAAAAAGTAGTAGAAGATCTCCTAAAAGTAAATAGAAAGACCAATGTGCTTTGGAGAAAATTGAGTGCTGTTGCTGAAGTTCAGTTACAGGCAGTTATTACACTGAGGTGTACTGATCGGGGCAACATGTAATACCAGTTGCTATTAAATATTTAAATTTTAATAATGTGTTGAAAAATATGAACAGTCAAAGCATTCATGAAATCACTAGCTGGCAGAATATGAAGACAGGTAGAATTAACCTGTGATGGAATATATTGTATTTTCTCTGCATTATAGTCTAAACATTGGGGAGAAAATAATTTCTTTTTACTTTTATCCTGGGTTTCATTTTTTTTTAATTGTTTCAATATAATCAGCTTATAATAATGCATATTATTGCATTTTGAATATAAATTGTTAATTCTAAATAAGCTGGTCCCTCTGGGCTGATTCCAGGGCTGATGTGTGTTTCTTTGGGTAGATAAGGTAAGCCCTCCCTGGTGGGGCTTGCTCACCTGATGTCACTGGTATGTTTTACATCACCTTTGACCAACGTGGTCCCAGGTGGATGTGGCAGTAGTGTGAAATGGTATAACCTGCTTCAGGAAAATGTTTCCTAATCTAGACCTGTTTCACGTCAAATTGCTCGGATGGTGCATGAGAAATCAAGTTGAAGGAGCCAAGTATGCATTGAGAAATGGGAGAAAACATAATACTTCCAAGCATTACAAAGGATGACATTGTATGAAGACTTTGCAAGGAGAAAAATGTTACTTTTAAAAAGCCATGTTATTTGCTTAATGTAGTGGAGATCCCTGAACATTTTGCCTGAAATCAGTGATCTGCTTGTTATGTGTGTTAAAGAATATAGCCTCTTTTATACTCATGACATTTCATTGTAATTGCATTAGAGAAATAACTGTGCTTTATACTTAACTAAAGGTTCTTAACCGATGCTGTACTTCAGTTTGTTGACCGAACCCACGCGATTCCACTGGGAGTTTTGGGGTCACACACAGACACAGCATTCATTTAACTTCAGAAGTCTCTGCTTTGAGTGAAAATCTTTTCCATGTTGGCTTAGATTATATTTTTAAACGTCTGTTAAACCCTATATGATGAGTTCTTGACAAAGAAGGATAATCTGTTTGAACTGAAATGAAGCAAGTCTGTGTTATATCGCCAGCCACATTTGCCCTTGGCTTGCAGGAGATGTTTCATTTTTTCTGTCACCAACTGCACCTTGGTAGCTGAGACAAGAACTTAACCGGCGCTGAGAAATCCTTAGAGAAAATCTGTCTTGACTCTGTCCCAGCTTAAAAGTTGACCACGTGATTTCATTTGGCTCTACTGTGAAGTTGAGGATATTGTATGAAACCGTAACTGTTGAATAAGTAGGCTTTACCTGAATGAGAAGAAACCACGTTTAATATGCTAGTATCCCAGCCCAATATCCTCATATACTGCAGATGGAGCTCTCAGATGTTTGATTGTTTCACTTTCACAGTATCTGTAGCTCCATATCTAGTTTTATGCTGTATAACCATATAAAAAAGCAAACATTTTATTATATGCCCTTTATTTTGGGACTTACTGGTTGGGTAAGTCAGTTGAAATGGTTTTTGTTCATGTGATTGATTTCTTTTGACACATGTGGTACCAGTTAGAGGAACTTCAACTGCCCATCATCTCTTCAGTCTGCGCTACTGTATCAAAATACTTGATTAAACCCACCTTCTGTTGTTGTAATGCAAACCAGTTGGTAATCGTGGGCAATAGAGTCAGATTTATTGAGTGAGAAGCAGCTTTCTGAAGATCTGGCAATGCAATGAAAAAATATGACTAGATGGATAATTAAGTTGAGCACAGTGGAATTCAGGATTAAAGTAAACTTGATGTGGGAGAAGATGGCATGCCAACGTTGGTTGTGTAATACAGTTGAAATTAGGAGATGCTTTTCTTCTTAATTGGAAGCATCAGTTTCTGGCTCTAGGTGCTTTACCCTGGCTGGAGACATACTTCGTTGCGCATCCAAAGCTGTAGCGTGCAAGAGTGGCGAGTTCCTTAATGTTTTTGCAGAAGACACTCTGATGTGGGCTGACAAAGAAGCAGCTCCACACATGGTTGCAACACAGCGTTTCAGGTTCTTAGATAAAAGGTGGTCATTGGTCATAAAGAGTAAACCTCAGGTAGAGAGTCAGCTGTTTAATTCTTTTTATAAGTGCTCTTTTCAAGCAACTCTAATGGCCACTCTGAGAAACTGAATTTCCGTGGCTTCCAGTACTGGGGAGCACGGGGGGGACACGAGCAGCAGGGCCCCTGCTGTGGCAGAAAGCATTGGGGTAACTGGGCAGTCACAGCCAGCATTGGGAAGTGAAATACAGTGAAATGTCTGCATTTCACCTTTGGACTTTGTCTCTTGTTGAAGAGTACGTAGGTCAAGTTAAAGACGCTCTGCAGATTCCGTTTGCATGTAAAAATGCATTAATAGCTTGATGAAGCACGTTGTTTTATCGTGTCAGTAATACAAATCCTAGATGGTAGAGGCTGTTGGCAGATCAGTGTTTGGGATGCATGATACGGAGAGTTTACCAAGCATGAGTATAGTGAAGGTCATAAATGCTACAGTGCTTCTCAAAATCTTTTTTCCGTTTTCTAAACATGGATAGCAGGAGTCATTTCTCACAGTATTTATTTTTGCATTACAATTCTTTCTAAAATTCTTTTTGTACAGACAGTGTACATGGCAGACAATTACATCCCTGTCTTGTTTTCGCTTAGGCAGAGAATGCCCCCACCGGACCAGAATGTGGCTATGGGTCTTTTCACCAGCAGTATTGGTTGGATGGGAAGATAATTGCTGTTGGTGTAATTGATATCCTGCCCTACTGTGTGTCCTCTGTCTATCTGTACTATGATCCAGACTACTCCTTCTTATCTTTGGGAGTCTACTCTGCATTACGGTAAGAGGACATTTTTGTTATCGGCTTAGACGTAATAGTAAGAATTGATATTTGTTCCTAAACTTGACCTTTTATTTCCAGTCTAAACATACACTGGTAACACTATCTCTAGCAGAGTATTTGTGGTGGTGTTTGGTTTTTTAATTCTCTATGGTTGGTTGCTTTTCAAATAAATTTTTAATTGTCATTCTTGAATAGGGATATATCTTTCCAGTTAGCTAAATACTTCTAAAGATTAAAAAAACCACTCAGAAACAAAATACCTATGTTTATTGTCCCTGAAAAGAATTTAGTATTGCTTGGTTTCAGCAGGGGGACCCACTTTTTTTGTTCGAATAGAAATAATTCTTCCTTTGACCTTTTTTCTTAGCCCAGTCACCAAATGAAATTCATCACTTTTATAGTTTTATGCACATTGAGATCATAAATAATAGAGTCCCTAAAACCTGTTGTCTTCTGAATTAGTAGTCTCCTGCTGTACTAGCATTAAGTATATATTTCAGGTATGTTAATCTCATTATCTCTGTCTTCAGAGAGCCTGATGGAGAGAGTAATTCTATGAATTTTAAAGCCTTAAATTATCAACCTAGCTCTTGCAAAACAGTAGGAATAGTGAGTAATGCTTTTCTCTGTGAATAAGGCTTGTCTGTTAAAATGCAAGTTACTGTTTTTCTTCCATAAAATATTTTATGATTCAATTATTATATTAAGGGGGGAAAAAAAGCCCTAAATGAGTGGAAATACTTGTGCATCTCAAGTTTTTCCTTAGCATTTTTGCTTGTCTGTTTACATGAAGTAAGCTGGTCACAGGCGTGGTTTTCCCAGGGAGGTTCTCATGAAGCAACTAGATTTGAACCAGAATTGTGCCAGTCATGTCTATTTTTAAGTTTCCTTAGCTCTGAGAAGTTATAGCAAAGGCCTTTACCTGCTAAGATTTGCTGTACACTCT